TTCTTCTCCTCCGGTCCTCCGCGTTGCTGCTGCTCTCTGGCTCGGGCGAGGTCCCCCGACTGTGCCGCTCGCTGTGTTCGCGGTGCTCATGGTCTCCGCGGGCTGCGCCCTCCCCCTCGTGGTCCAACTGGCGGTTCCCCAGGGTGTGGGGTCGCGCTGGTACTGACGAGGCCCTGGCTACCATGGTGTTGGTCGTGTAGTCCGCGTCGTGCCCTCTGGGCTCGTCAGGCACCTCCGCCTCGAAGCCTTCTGTCATTTGCAGCAGCTGCTCCTCTTCGATGTGATTGTTCAGATCTGCGAAGGGGTCTGCGCCCGCATCTGACCATCCTGCTGTCGCTCGCATCCTTGCCGAACCTGGGAGGCCATCACCAGGGTTTGCATCTGACTCCTCCCCACCCATCCTTACTGTGCCTGCGCGCTCGGCGCCAGGATTTTCCCCCGCGGGGAACTCCGTCCAGCCCGTCGCGACTGGCGCCAGCGCCTCCCACCGTGCGTTGTCCAGCGCCTGCTCGAAGTCCTGGGGCGGTGGGCGCTGCTCAAGCTCCTCCTGGCCTCCTCCTCCAGCCGCTGCTGCCTGCGCCTGCGCTGCTGCCTCCTCTCTCACTCTCCTCCTCGTCCTCTTGCTGCCTGGGTTGGGCTGCTTCTTGGGGCGGGGCGGATGAGGGAAGGGCTGGGGCATGCGCAGCGAGCGGGCCCTCGTCTCCTGGGCCTCGGCGTGGAGCGTGAACTTGAGCCCTATGTGCGGCTTCCACGGCACGTCGTAGACCGCCTCCACGCCCTTGATCAGCTTCTGCCCTTGCTCGTTCACCAGCGCGTAGTCTATCGTCGACTCGTGCTCTCCCAGTTGGCAGGTGAAGTCGCCGTCGGGCAGCGAGACGATGGCTGTCGCCCCCATGGCAGAGGGCCAGCCTGAGTCCCACATCTCCGTCGGCGCCTTGTTGAAGTCGCCGCAGACGATCCACGCGCCGCTCAGCCCCTTCAAGAACGAGGCGAGGGCCGTCAACTTGCGGGCGTTGATGCCCTCGCGCAGCGACTTGCCTACGTCCAGGTAGAGGCTGATCACCGTGATCGTCGTCCCCTTCAAGTGCCGCGTGACTGGCGTCCAGTCGCGCAAGTCCAGGTCGGCTTCCCACTCCCCGCTCACGTCGGTCGTCGCCTTCATGACTGTGGTCTGCCTGGCCTGGCACCGAACACTTGAGGTCCGCAGGTGTCCCCTCATGACGACCGCCGTCCCTCCGAAAGTGCCCTGCTCAGATCGTGAGCTGGGTCTCGCCGCCGTGAAGCACGCCCTGTATCCCAACTTCACAAGTTCGCACTCCACGGTATCTAAGTTTGAGTGGCCCACGTGCGTCTCCTGGAACGCGTAGGCGTCGTACCCCTGGCCGAGCTTCTGCTTGGCCATCCACAGCCTGGCTGTGGGTCCCCAGCTGGTGAGGTTCGCGCAGAACAGTGTGCACTCGCGGGGCTCGGCGGCGCCGCCTCCTTGGCGCCGAGCTCCGCGCGCCTGGCCTCAGGCCGAGGCTGCCCCCCCTGGGCTGCCTCCGCCCGTCTGCTCCCTCAGCTGCCTGAAGTGCTCCTCAGCCTCCGCGTCGCCGCTTCCCGCAGCCGCTGGCGTCCCGGCCGTGGGTGCCGAGGCCGCGGGCGGCGTGGCTGCTGGCTGCGGCGGCTCGGCAGCGGGCGCCGCCTGTTGAGGGGGCTCCGCTGCGCCGCCACCCTCAGCCTTCCTCTTCTTCGCCGCCTGCTGGATCGTGGCCTGCTGCTCCGCCGCCTTCAGCTTCGCAGCCGCCAGGTGCTCCTTCAGCTGCGTCGAGAAGGTCTGCGCATTCTCCTTCATCTGTGCCACGACCGTTTTCTTCACCTCTTCTACTTGCTTGCGGCCTTCGTCGTCCAGGTCGGCTGCGGTCAGGTTGAGCTCGCGCTCGATGTCCGCCGCGAGTTGTCCTGCTGCCAGCTCCTCCACCTGGCCGCTGACCAGCTGCTCCAGGACGCCCTTCGGCGGGTCGCGGCCCTCAGCCTGGATGGCCTCAAGCTCTCTCTCCGCCTTGAGCACCGCTGCAGCCTTCTCGTCCAGCTTGGCTCTCGCCTCCTGGGCCACCGTGTCAGCCCTCTTCTTGGCCGCGAACGCCGACGAGTACGCCTGGTTGGCGTGTGCACCACCACCACTCCCCGCAGGCCTTGCACACCACGTAGGCCTTGTCCGCAACCGACTTGGCCCCGCCCTTGACCATCGGCGCGGCGCTGCCGTGGTGCGCGTCCAGGCGCTGGGTGTCGCTCTCCCGTCTCAGCCGCCGCCGCGCCACAGCGCGCAGGCGCCTCGCTCGGCGGTGCCAAGCGGGGGAGCGCGACCGCGCTCGGCGCCCCTCCGTGGGGCTGGGGGCTATGGCTCCGCGGGCGCGCGCCCGCCGCGGGCAAAATGCCTGCGACCCGCGCCGCGCTGCCAAGCCACCTAGGACGAGGAGGAGGAGCAGGAGCAGGAGGAGGAGGAGGAGGAGGAGGAGGAGGAGGAGGAGGAGGAGGAGGAGGAGGAGAGCCTCTGGCCCCTCCACCTCCGCCTCCTTCCAGACGAGGGCGGCAGGGAAGGGGGGGACGGCGAGCACGCGCCGTGCGTGGGCGGCTGCATGCCCTGAGAGGTGCGGCCGCACCTGGCCGGCCCGTCGAGCCAGGACGAGGGCAGGACGCGAACACGCCGGGCTACTGCAGGTTCGTGTCGTGACGACCCTGGCGTTGGTTTCTGGCACCGCGTCGATGGTTCAACCTTGAACGACCGGCGGCGTTCCGATCGCCCGATCGGTCCATGTAGGCCGATTCTGGGCCACTGGCGGCGTTCAAGCTTGAACCCCCGCGGCGGGGTCGCCGCCGGTCGACACGATGCGAACCTACCGTAGTTCCGAGATCTCTGAGCCGGCGAGTCCCGAGGATGTGCCAGGTGTGCTGCGGCCTGGAGATTTCTCCGAGGGCCTCCAGAGGTCCCTCTCGAGGACTCTCAAGACCTGCGGAGAGGCCCCTGGAGGCTCACATACAAGACAGAAGCGCTCAGAGACCTCAATTCCTCTGCTCCTCCTTCGGTGGCAACTCATGGGAGCCTCCCATGCCATCATGTCGGCTCTTGCGAATCGACGCTGATCGACGCTAGCCGACGCCAATCGATGCCACATCGACACCAATCAGAGCCAGCCGACACTGATTCGGCGCTATCTCATCGAATCTCAGACGCAAGTCGACGCTAGAGACGGAATCAAGAGCGTATACCAAGCCCTCATGGTCTGCTACCGGACTCCTCCTGCTCCTCCTCCTCCCTCCAGCTGTCCTGAGGCTGCCCTAACCTCCTCGCTCCTCGCTCTCCCATCGCTGGGTCTCCACGCGACGGCGCGGACTCTGGCTCCTGACATCGCGTGCCACGCGGAAGTCAGCGGGGGGGCAACAAGCGCGGGGGAGTGGGATGCAGGAAAGGGCCCTGAAGGGGGGCCCTGAGAGGGCCTTCCCCTTCTCACTTCCCCCCATCGCTCGCCGCCGAAACAAGCGTGGGGTCAAGCGAGGTGCAGGAGAGGGCCCCGAAGGAGGCCCTGAAAGGCCCCTTTGCATCGGTGGACAACGTCTGACCACCTATCCTAACCTGGCCAGTCCCATCCTGGGCCCAGGATTTATGTGCTTCGTACACGCATGAATTCATGCTCATATAACTACAGTTGTGTGTAGACATACACAGATCTGAACACGAATGCCAATGTCTGAATCCAGGGTCCACCATGCTCCCCCCTCCCATGGATATGGTGTCCAGCCCCCGCCCCCCCATGATGGATCCCCCCTGTGGTCTGACGTGGTGGGCGACTGAATACACTGATGAGCGCGTTTCGTTCGACAATACAGACGGTCGATGCACTGCCAGGCTGGCATCGTGCTGCCCCAATCGACGGCCAACCGGCTGTCGTGCCGACGCGCCCTGCAGGATGCTCGGCTGGAGTGACGGCGATGCTTTGGCCCATCCGTCGCCTCCCCTGTGCTCCGCTCCGCTCCGCTCTTCTCCGCCTCTCCGCTCCCCCCTCCCATGACCTCATAACATGCCCTTCAACCCGCCCCGTCCGTCCCCTCGGATATTCGGGTCGGGCGAAAGGGGGGATAGCAAAGGGGGGGTTTGAGAATCAGCTCACGTAGCTGATTTTCCCGGCGCCTCCCGGCGCCGGAGGCGGCTATATATCGAGGAATGGGCCCCTCTGTGAGGCCGAAACCAGCTGCATGCAGCAAATTTCGTAACGCCCCCTTTCCCAATCTCCCCCTTTCGTCCGGCCCGAAACATGCTCCGCTCCGCTCCGCTGTGCTCGATCCATTTCTGGGGTGTTGTTTTGCGGGGGGTAGGGGGGGGGGGCAGGGCCCACTACCTCCGCTGGCTGATGCACAGCAACTCAGCGCCATGGGGAGGGGGAAGGGATGGGCAGGGCGGGTAGGATGTCAGATGTGGCGCCGGCTGGTCTAGTGTGGTCCGACCCCCGTCTCCCTTCATTCCCGTCTCCTCCTCCCCCTCGCCCTCCTCGCCCTCCCCGCCCTCCAGATGCCCTCCATATGCTCTCCCCCCTGCCCCGTCCGTCTCCCCCAATGTGCTCCGCTCCGATCTTCTCCCCCTATCCGCTCCCCTCTTCCTTCCCTATCCCCTCCCTCCTATCCCTTCCCTATCCTCTACCGATCTCCCTTCCCTTCCCTATCCCTTCCCTATCCCTCCTATCCCCTCCCTATCCCTCTTATCCCTTTCCTTCTCCTCCCATCCCCTACCGATCTCTTCCTTCCGTATCCCCTCCCTCCTTTTCTCTTTTCGATCCCCTCTCCTCCTCTTCCTCCTTCTCCTCCTTTTCCTCCTCCTCCTCCTCCATCCGATCTCCCTTCTTTTACCTCCCACATCCCCTGCCTCCTCTTCCTCCTCCTTCTCCTCCGTCTCCTCCTCCTCCTCCTCCTCCTCTTCCTCCTGCGATCCAAGGCGCTGATTTGGCGCGTCTCCTCCCCGTCGGCGCCTCTTGGTCGTGGTCCGCGTCCAGCCTGACCTGTGGGCGCAGGGGGGGGCTCGAAGCCTCCCTCCTCCCTGGGTAGCGCGCGTGGGGGGAGGTGGATGATGGAGGTGGTGGAGGGAGGAAAGAGGTGGGAGGCGAGATGAGGGAGGTCAGGGGAGGGATGAGAAAGGAGGGAGAGGAGGGAGGAGAGAGCAGGGAGGCAAGCTAGGTGCGCTCGCGCCATATCTGACATCCTACCCCGCCCACCCACCCCTTCCCATCGCATGAATTTGAATCTCTCCGCCGACGCGTGCCGCAGCGGATGGGGAACCCCCCAACGGGGGAAGAGAGCAGAGAGGAGAGGCAGAGAAGGAGCACTGAGGAGCACTGAGGAGCAGGAGGAGGAGGAAGAGGAGCAGGAGGAGGAAGAGGAGGAGGAGGAGGAGGAGGAGGAGGAGGAGGAGGAGGAGGGTGGTGGGGCGGGCCCGTGGAGGAGAGGAGGGCGGGAGGCCCCAAGAGGCGCCCAGGAGGAGAAGGAGGAGGAGGAGGAGGAGGAGGAGGGAGGAGGAGGAGGAGCAGGAGGAGGAGAGGGAGGAGGAGAAAGAGGAGGAGGAGGAGGAGGAGGAGGAGGAGGAGGAGGAGGAGGAGGAGGGAGGGGAGGAGAAGATGGGCCCTCCTCTTCCTTCTCCTTCCTCTCCCTGCTCCCGAGGGCTGCCCGCAGCAGGTGGGGATGCGTCGGCACGGTGGCCGGCGCGAGGGCGGGGCGCGGCGGGCGGGGCCCGGAAGAGCAGCAGGCCACCGGGACTGTCGTCCGTCCTGGGGCGGAGGCGGAGGGGGGAGGAGGGGCGGATGAGGAGGGGGAGGGGGGTGGAGAGGAAGGGGAGGAGGAGGAGGAGGAGGAAGAGGAGGAGGAGGAGGAGGAGGAGGGGGAGGAGGAGGAGGAGGAGGAGGAGGAGGAGGAGGAGGAGGAGGAGCAGGAGGAGGAGGAGAAGGAAGAGGAGGAGGAGGAGGAGGAGGACGAGGAGGAGGAGGATGAGGAGAAGAAGAGAAAATTGAGGAGGATGAGAAGGAAAAGGAGGAGAGGAGGAGAGGAAGGGAGGGGGACGAGAAGGGCACGCCTATCCTCCCGTTCACTGCACCCCTGCCTCTCTCCTCCATTCTCCTGGTTTCTCACCTCCTGGTGGTTTCACAGACAGGGGGGACGCCCACGAATGTGCCTTGGGCAGCGGGGCGTTGAGGTTGACCAGTCCGCAACAGCCGACGGAACCGACATCACAGATCCCCCTCCTCAACCCGGGTAACCCCACTCACCTCCTTCCCCCCCCCCGCCTCCACGTATTCCTCTTCTTCTTCTTCCTCCTCCTCCTCCTCCTCCTCGTCCTCCTCCTCCGTTCCTCCTCCTCCTCCACCACCACCTCCTCCTCCTCCTCCTGTTCGTACCCCTCCCCCTCCTTCTCCCTATCACTCTCCCCTTCCCCCCCCTTCCCACTCCCCCTCGACTTCCTCCTCCTCCTCCTCCTCCTCCTCCTCCTCCTCCTCCTCCTCCCCTCCCCCCCCCGTCCCCATCCCCATTCCCCTCCTCCTCCTCCTCCTCCTCCTCCCTCCGCCTCCTTTCCTTCTTCGTCTTCCTCTTCCCCTGTTCATCTTCCTACTCTTCCTCCTCCGTTTCTTCCTGCTCCTCCTCCTCCTCCTCCTCCTCCTCCTCCTCCTCCTCCTCCTCCTCTTGGGAGGGCCTCCTGCAGCCTTCTTCCATCTCTTCGCAGCTTGTGTGGCGGCATCAGGGATTGGCCAGGACGCGAGCAGGAGTTCTCGCGCTGCCCCCCCCCGCTCTGCGTCACTGGTGTCCGCCCGGCACGGGAGGCCTTTGGACCCCCCCCTGGAGGGATCCCTTCGTCCCCCCTCGGCCTGGTTTGGGTTCCCGGCTGCAGCGCCCTCTCCTGCTCCGGAGATTCCCGCCCTCAGATACATGGGGGACTGGATTGCCGGGCTTCTCCTGTGGTCGGGGTGGGGGTCGAGGAGGGTGCCCCAGAAGGGGACTTGGAGTGAGGAGGAAGAGGGAAGGGGAGGAGGAGGAGGAGGCGGAGGATGAGGAGGAGGAGGAGGAGGAGGAGGAGGCGGAGGATGAGGAGGTGGAGGAGGACGAGGAGGCGGAGGAGGAGGATGAGGGGAGGAGGAGGAGGAGGGGAGGAGGTGGAGGAGGAGGCGGAGGAGGAGGAGGAGAGGAGGAGGAGGCGGATGAGAAGGATGAGGAGGAGGAGGAGGAGGAGGAGGAGGCGGAAGATGAGGTGGAGGAGGACGAGGAGGCGGAGGAGGAGGAGAGGAGGAGGAGGAGGAGGAGGCGGAGAAGGAAGAGGAGGAGGAGGAGGAGGAGGAGGAGGTGGAGGAGGAGGAGGAGGAGGAGGAGGAGGAGGAGGAGGAGGAGGAGGAGGAGGAGGGTGGTGGGGTCGGGCCCGTGGAGGAGAGGAGGGCGGGAGGCCCCAAGAGGCGCCCAGGAGGCCCCCAAGAGAGGCCCCCAAAGAGAGGCCCAGGAGAGGCCCCTGCAGCTCGGAGACGCCGCCAGAACGGCCCCCAGGAGGCCCCCAAGAGAGGCCCAAAGGCCCAAGAGGCCAAGAAGAGGCCCAGAAGAGGCCCAGAGAGGCCCAAGAGGTCCAGAAGAGGCCCCGAAGAGGCCCCGAAGAGGCCTCGAAGAGGCCCAGAGGCGCTCTCAGAAAGGCCCCCGAGAGGCCCCCCACGAGACCCGACACTGCTCTGCTTGGGGGTCGGCGGAATGGCGCTTGCCCCTTGGATAAGAGGGACAGGAGGGGGAGGAGGCTGGCCCGCGGAGGAGAGGAGGGTGGGAGCAGCACGTATGTGGACTAAGGTGTAGTAAGCTCGCGCGGCGTCGGCGCTGGCAAACATGTTTGACATCGCGTCGATCGTTCAACCCTGAATCGATCGCGGCCCAGATCGTTCGAGGTAGAATTCCGTCGGGTGCAGTCCGTGTCCCCCGGTGCTTCCGTGTCACAGACTTCAACCTTGAATGCGTTCGCTGGCATCGCTGGCGCGCCAACACCGCATGAACACACTGTATGCGGGCCTTGGCCCGAAACATGGTGTGCATGTCCTTTTTTGTCGGCGCGATTTTGGGAGGAAGAATGACAGCGCGGATGGCTCTTGAGGTGACTCCCAGGCTCTGTGAACGAGAAAGGTCGGCTCTAAAGTGAACCTCCGCCCAAGAGCTCCCACGCTCACAAATCTGCTCCGAAGAAGTCCCACCATAGATGCTGCGCGCGGTGGCGGTTGCGTAATCATGGTCTTTCTGTCCCTGGCACGGTGCCCCCGCGATTTCCCGCAGTGTCCAGTTTGTCTCCGAAGCATTCCCAAACGAGGCATAGAGGACCCCCAGGGGCTCCAAAACGGCGACAGAAGCGGGACCACCTCCGGCGACCCCCGAGAGAGGGGAGATTGGCGGCGCGCGATAATGGGCTGGACGACTGCAGGATGAGGGCATGATCGGATGAAGATAGATCGGGGATCTCTGCGCGCCGCTGGGAAAGAACGATGTATCGGGCGCCGCGGCTCCTACAGCGCTTCGGGACGCTCTGGGTGTTCCGGAACGCTCTGGAACGATTGACAATCATACTGGGCCCACTTAGTGGGGCGAGTGGGAGCGGCCTTCCCGTCCAGAGGCTTCTGGGAAATCCCTCCCGAGGTCTCTGGGGTCTTTGGAGCTCCCCGAAAGCCCCTGGAGGGCTGTGGAGGCCTCCGGGGGCCCCTGGACGCTCCCAAAGGGCCGTCTACGCCAAAAACAAAGGCCAATCCACAAGAAACCTTCCACAAGAAATCCAACCCTGGAACCCCAGGACGTCCATCGACTTTTGGCATGGGGAAGTAAAGCTTTCCACAGCAAAACCATCGAAACCCAAGCACCCCAGGGCACCCTGGAGGCCAGCAGGGTGATTTTTGGCATGGGCCCCCACTATACACCCCAACGACGACGACGGCGACGACGGAAAAGGCAGCGACCGCACCGACGCCGCCGACGCCGACGCCGACCTTGACGTCGCCGCCGCCGACGACGACGACGACGACGACCACGACGAAGGCGCCGACGATACCGACGGCGGCGACCACGAAGCCGACGACGGCGGCGACCACGACAACGACGCCAACGGCGGCGACCACGACGCCGACGACAATGCCGACGACGAGAGACGATCGAGGTCCCGCCGGGTCCTTGTCTGCTCGTGGCATTCGACCTGCGGCGGGCGGAGCTGCGCATCTGCGCTGCGGGCGAACGCGTTCTCTTATGCACGTGGAGACGCTAACAAAGTGTAGCTCGCCGAACAGATCTTGATCGTGGAGGAAGGGGAGAAAGAGGGATGAGGGACAAGAAGGGAAGAACACGGAGGAGGGGCAGGAAGGATCCTTCTCCTTCTCCTCCTTCTTCTGCTCATCCTCCCCTCCTCGGAAACTGGGGGCAGGAAGGCAGTCCGTCAACGGGGGCAAGACTAATTTCCTTTGCCTCCGAACCGACCCGCCCAGTGCCCCGTCCCCAGACCTCGACGGTGTTGCTCGAGGCAGAGAGGCTTGCACATCAGGACTCCAAGTGGGGCCCGTGGGAGAGGTCGCCGAGGCACGGATGCCGCTCCGTGGCGCGCTGCACCAACCGCCGCTCCATGAGCCCGCGCGCAGGGGCGCCAGCCGCCGCGGGGCGCAGCTCGGGCAGCTCCACCGCGAGCCCGTCGTCGGTGCGGAGCGCGCGCGGCCTGCTGAGGACCGCCCACCCGAAGCGCGTCGCCGAGGCCGCAGCCGCGCCTACGAGGCCCTCGGCCAGCAGGCCGAGTCTTCTCGTGTTTGGACGCCCGAAATGGGTACGGGAAGAATGGGTACAATGCCCAACAACAAGTGTTGTCCCGAACCAACAGCGGCCGCTGTTGGGCAGGCGGCCTCCTGTCTCAAATGGACACAGGCCGCGGCGACACCGACAGCGAGTCCTGTTCAAAATGAACAGGAACTGCTGTTGGGCATTGTGCCCGTTCTTTCTGTGCCCATTTCGGGCGTCCCGATCGTGGCCGCTTTCCGACATCGCCGCGCCCGCCGCGTGTAGGCGAACTGCGCGAACCGCGCCCGCGGGAGCCGGATGCCCCAGACGGCCCGCCTCCGCCGGGGCGGCAGTGGGCCCGGCCGTGGAGGCGCAGGCGGGGCCCAGAGTGCGCGGCGACTTCTGCGTCGCCAGGTCCAGCGTGCAGGAGGGAGGAGGAGGGAGGAGGAGGGAGGAGGGAGGAGGGAGCAGGGAGGACTCTTTGACTCTTTGATAGCGGACGCTGTCCTGGGGGGCGATTTTAATCACTGGAATCGCTTTCATCCCCAGCCCGCACGGGCTGGGGTTCCTGGGCCTGGCCGGGCCTGGAGGGAGCCGCGGGGTCCGTCCCCGCTCCCGTCTGGGCCCCCGAAGGCCCAGCAGCCTGGCCAGCCAGGTCGGATCCTGGGTTTTCCGACTGCGGACGCCTGAGCAAAGCCGCCACGTCCGCGCAGGCGGCTGCTTCACGAGCCCTGATGGCCTCTAAAATAGCCCTCGGGGGGCCTTCACGACGCGGGAACAAACCTTTGCTAATCCTCGCAAGGTTCTCCGAACCCTTATTGGTCCGCCCGTCACATCTGGCAACTAAATTCCTGGGGTCCACGGTGCAGTAGGAACCGCACTCCGTACAAATGTGAAGGAACCATGTCTCCACATACTGGAGCCTGTGAGAGGGGTGAACATTTTCCAGCAAGCCGCTCCCTCGGGACGAGGGGGCAAACCTTTCTCCGACTGCGGCCTGGGCACCTCTCCTGACTTCGGCAGGAGGCCCTGAACAATTCGTGGCCGCAAAGACCCGCGTTTGGTAGCGGGGTACCACTCTCTCACAGACCGTGCACCACCAGTATTTCATGCTGCGCCCACATGGCTCGAGGATGTGGTCCGAGGCCTGTGCCGCGGCCACCAACTTGGACGGTCTGTCCACCTTCTTCAAAGGGGCTCTCTCCGCCCGAGTGTTTTCCTCGGCCTCCGCTGCACACACCAGGGCTCTTCTGGCCCTTCGACGAATCAGCGAAGCTGTGGCATCTATTTTGTCCGTCTCAGGCTCCCGCCCCACCAACCCCCTCCACGCCAACTCCGCCGCCTCCCCCGCCCACGAATCAGCGCAGGCGTTGCCAGAGGCATAAAAGAGTTTCTCGCACGTGTCTAATTTTTCTGGGGCCTCCTCTTGGTGGGAGGGGAACCAAACAACTTCCACATCTGGATTTCTCCTGGCCTGGAGGGCTTTGCGGGCCCTGGTCCAAAGGTCTTCGTTGGCGCCCACAGGGTTGGGCATCCGAAAGCGGGCCCTCCAGGCCCTGGAGATCGTCTTGTGATCAGTCACAAATGTGAAACCGCGATCTGAATCTACTTGCTCTAAAGCCAGGCAGAAGGCTAAAACTTCGGCTCGGGGGGCCGCGTGCTTTTCTCCGAGCAGAGGAACCCCGAGAGCCTCCCCCAAGGTCCACCCGCCTCCCGAATCAATCACGAGCCCCACGATCGCTGCTCCGCAGCGCCTCCGTCTGGGGTCATCAGAATATTTGCCCCCCGAGCCGTCTCCGAAAATGTGAACTCTGCCTGCCTCCGTGCATTCGGCGAAGCCGTGTGATTCAAAATCCACCTGCAGCTGGCCGAGGGGCGCCTCATCAAACTCAGGAGTGGTGAGCCCAACGGCTGGCACTCCCCGAAGCCACAGAGCAGGCGACGCCTCGTGCTGCGCCGCCGCCTGCGCCACGAGCACCTCCGACTTCTCGAAGTCCCCGTGGCCCTTGTTCTGCTCACATTCCCAAATGCGGCGATGCAAACTCTCGTCGTTGAGCAGGCAACGCGGACAAAGCTTGGAATCAATCAGATATCCTTGTCTGGCACGCCTCGTTCGGGTCCACTGCCCACCTGTGGTGACTGTCAAGTTGAGCGCCGCCAAATCTGAAGCTCCTTCATTGTGAAACTTGCGCTGCTCTGCTCTGATTCTCCATGCATCAGCTCCTGGGTGAAGGTCGGCTCCATCCTCGTGCTTCGACGCCTGCTGCCAGTACAACCTGCGCATATCACTGACCACATCTCCCAAGATAGCGAGCCTCTCCCAATCATTCGTGTACTCCGTGTCCGTGCCGCTGGGGATAAGCCAGGCCTGCAACTGTCCATCAGGTAGTGGTCTGTCCCACTCTGTCGCCTTGATGGGCATCCAGCCTATGTCCATCAGCGTGGCCTGTAGTGCGGCGATCGGGCCTCTGACATAGGCCCACCTCCTCCGTCCAGCCGTGACCAGTCGCTGTCTGATCTTTGGCCAGGCTGACTTGACTCTCGCATGGATCTGGGGATTCATCTGCCACATCGCCAGCCACTCGTGAACAACTCGTTTGCGCAATTCCAGACCTGGCTCCTTGTCCCACATCTCGATTGCAAGTGTTGTCGTCAGACATTTACCTCCTTGAGATCCTGCTGCGATCTGACCCGCCTGTCTTCTAAGTTTCATCAGCTCCGTCGTGGAAAGGCCGAACGCATGATGTCCGTATGTGGCCTGGGGCATGGCGCCCGTTGACCAGAGTCCTTTCGCTTCTTTCGCCAAGGTAGTGCTTTTCCTCAGCCTCTTGATCTTGCCGAACCGTCTCTTGGCTGCCAGGATTCGTCTCTTGAGTGTCCGTGCAAACAACACGCTTGCGCCCAGCAGCAGCATCGAGGCCCAGGTCTTTCGTGAACGTTTTGGCCTTGGCGGGGGTGCCGTTCTGCTGCAACCTCTTAGCCACGCTCTTGACCATGTCCCTGCTCGAGCCGATGATGACTGTCTTGTCTGAGATCTTGAGCCTCTGTTGGCGAAGTCCTTGGGCGAGCTCGCAAGCCACTCTGACCATCTTATCTGGGGAGTCCTGTGCCGTGCCTTCCTCTCGAGCCACAGTGTCGTCGACGAAAGTCCAGAGCCCCGCTGTCGGTGATATGATGTGTGCTCGCTGTAGGACTGGGTGGAGAAAAACCTTCGCGAGGCTGACTCCTCTGGGCGACCCCGCAACTATCGATCTGGATACCCATATCGCCTCACTGAGCGACGACTTGTCTTTTAGAAACCGTGCCGCCGCGAAGATGAGTACTTCCATTTCCACTACAACTGCTGGATAGCCGATGCCCCTTGCGATGCGCATCAGCAGCACCAGGCTGGCGCTGTCGTAGAACTTCTCGATGTCCTCCAGCAGGGTGAGGCTGGAGATGCCCAGCTCGCACCCCGCCTCGTCCAGACAGGCGCGGAGCAGTCCAGCCCGCAGCGCCGAGCTGCCTTTGAGGGCCGTGTCCCAGTGCGCGCTCAGAGACTCACTCCATTCGCTGCAAGGTGACGCCCGCGTCCTGCTCCAAAATTTAATTGGTAGGGGTAGCATCCCCAGCACTCTCTCTCCGCCTGCTGGTTTGGGGACCACGGCCCCGAGTGTAGCCGTCCACTGCCTCGGCCACGTGCCCGTCTGCTCGCGCGTGCTGATGAGGTCGACCAGCTTCTGGCGTGCACCCTGCGGGGCCCTCTTAATGTCGTGCAACTTGAGACCGTCCACACCGCCTGCTTTGTTGGGGTTCGTGGCCTGCATGGCCGAGTGGAACTCCTCTATTGTGATCGGGTCCAAGTCTTCGTGTCTGGCCTGTCTGTGCATGACCTGCAGCTCTGACGCGATGTCCTCTCTGGTGTCCACTGCGTCCGTCCAGATCTTTAGCCATCTCTCCCTCTTCGTGTGCATGAGAACCTCTGGGCCCGCCGAGCTTGCGTTATGGTGGTGCTGCTCGTAGGTCGGCTGCGCTGGATCTTTGACGTGCTTGTGAAGGATGCCTGGCTTCTCCGACCACATCTTCTTTGCCCACTTGGTGAACTGCTGCCGCTGTGTGGAGATGCCCCTGGAGACCGCAATTGCCAAGTGATTTTCCATCTCATCCTTGAGCCTCTCAAGCTCTTCCAGCGTGTGTGTCTTGACCTCCTGCACACGTAACATGCGCTCATCCGCTTCATCATGATCAAAATGTTTCCCAAAGATCTGATCCAATCCCATCCTTCTGAGCTGCTGGTAAGTCATGGACAACTCCCTCTCGCACTTCCTCTGTTGCATGTTGTCCGTGTCGTTGTGCCGTAGTGACGCATATCTGGTAATCAATACTCCCATTATCGACCACAACTCTGCTGCTTGATACTTCATATGCGTGCGCCCTGGTGTAGCTTTCGATCTTTGCCATCTGATTGCAAATCCACCTCCTCTGCCTCGGTGCGCATCAGCCTGCTCGGCGTCCATCGTGTCTACTCCGATGATCGCCTCCTCCAGAGTGGTGACCCAGACCGCATACTCGCCTGTGATCGCCTGCTCCATCAGCTTCTGATGCTTACTTCGGATGAGAAGGTTGGCCTCCAACTCGTGCATCTGCTTGGTCAACGCTGGCCCGATGGCGATGCTACTGGCCTGCTCCCACTGTCCCTCGTCTATCGCGTACTGCACCGTCTGCTGCACCATGGTCTGTGGGGGCTCGAGCCTGCTGAACTCCTCGCGCAAGTCCTCGGGGAGTTCTGCCAGTCTCTTCTGTTGTGCTGCCTCCGTCTTCTTGCTGCGCTTGCTCTCTGGGTCTGGGGCCTTCTTCGATGGGAGCACCAGCGGCAACGGCTTGGGGAGGTCCAAATGCCTGTGCCACCGAGCCTCCGAGCGCCCTGGTAATTTGAGCAGGAGCCCCGTGTGTGCCCTCCAAGGTACCTTCGCGTGTCCGTCGATGGCGATGCCATCTGCTATATCTTCTCGTGCCATGGCGAAATCTATAAGACTGCCCTTGCCCTTGTCGCAGGTGGCCTGGATCTTCGGAACGATCACCTTGCCTCCCAAACGTGTGGGGAGGCCTGACTTCTCGACCAGGGGCGGGGGCATGTTCCAATCTGCCATGATAATCCAAGGATCTGTGATGCTCCCTATGACCGTCGAGAGCGCCTTGATCTTTTCAAAGTTGCTGCCCTGCATGCCCTCCTTGTGAAGCAGGTAGAGGGAGAAGAGAACGACATTGCCTCCGCTGAGGTGGATAGTCATGGCCGTGAACCCTCTGAATGGGTCCTGCCGTCCTTGAGCCTTGAGGGTCTCCCTCATCACGTCGAACGTTGTGGTCGCCAAGTGCGCCTTGGCGATGAGCAGCTCGCCTCCGCTGTTGCCCTCCTTTGAATGCGCGTCGGGGTAGCTGCCGTGACTGCTGCTTTCCATCCATCTTTGCTCAGGTCTTTCTTCAGCTTCGTGATGCCTGACTGCGGCACGTGGGACTCCGTGAAGGCGAATATCTGAGCAAGTTCCTGGCTCTCGTTGAGGAACTTCTGCGGTTTCTGGCCCCATTGTGTGATATTGCTGAAGAATATACTGGTGACCTTCGCTGGCTTGGCTGTCTCGCATGTCTGATTGCGAACTCTCTCACGCTGGCTGCGACGCCAGTTTTGACAAGCTGCGTCCGCATCAGGCGCGGGCGATGAGGACCGATCCCCAAGACATGAGGGCGAAGTCCCAGGGAGACCAGGGAAGGCTGACCACTCGGGGGACGGCGGTGCTGGAGGCCTGTCCAGCGCTGCAGGCGGCTGCCATGGTGGGCTAAATACCAGCCCGACCAGAAGAACAGCCCGTAGCGCCGTCCGCAGCTGCCGTACCAACCGATGGTGAAGTGGTGGTCGCCCTCTGAGATGCCGCCCTGGCTCGCCCCTTGTTCTCCTCGATGAGCTTGGCGATCGCCTCTGCCTTCCTCTTTTCTGCTTCTGGATCGCTGGCTTGTTGTTGCTGTGGTGGTGTCTCAGGCTTGGCGTCTTGAGCGGATGGTGGAACTTGAGCGCGTGCTTGCCCGTCCTCGTTGATCCTGCGCTTCTTTGCCGCATGATCGGCCTTGATCTTCTTCGCGCTCTCGACCATGGTGAGCAGTGCCTCCTGCTGCGTCTTGGCGCGGTCCAACAACTCCTGCAAGGGCGCGAGGCCGAGCGACGCGAAGGAGCGACATCACCCGCGCGCCTTCCGCAGCGCGTGGGTGCGAACACTCCGCCTCCGAGCTTTCTCCGCCCTCGCCTTGCAGACCGGGCAGCGCGCTCGCTCTCCGCGCGAGTTGTCAGTGGCGAGATTCCTGGCGGCGCCGTGAGCGCCTCTGTCTCCACCTCCGGCCCATCGCCGCCGGCCACCGCAGCAGCGGCTTCGGATGCGCATCCAGAGAAGACATCTTCGGCGCCCATGGGGCACTCGCGCGCGCGATTCTCCTCCGCCTCGTGCAGCGACTGCAGGAAGCTGGACATGTAGCTATGCAGCTCGGCGTTGCCCTGCAACTCCACTGGAGCGCATGGCCTCCATCGCCTGCGCGGTCTCGGCCATCGCCGTGACCCGTGGCGGCGGCCGGCCCCAGCGGGAGGTTGCAGGCCAGCTGGCCGCCTGCAGCGCCGCCGAATACGCCGCGGAGGCCCCCTCCAGGGCCAGCCTGCTGGCCAAGAAGCGGTCGTCGGCCTCCTGCACCCGCCGCTCGGCCTCCTCAACCTACTCGGCCGCTGCCGCCCGCGCATCTTCAGCCCGCTCGACAGTCTTGCTCCGATCTTCCTGCCGCCAGAGCGCGCGCTACAACTGTGAATGCGGAGTGGGCGCCGGGTTTCCCCAGCCTGGGGGTCGGGGCGGGCTGGGGCTGGGGCAGCTTGGCCTGCTACCCGGACGTGAGATCGATGTCGAAGGCGCCCAGGCGCTCGAGGAGCTTGGCGTCGTTGCCGGCGGGGCTTGCCGCGTCGGCACCCCGACCGCAGCAGCCGCGCCCCTGCCGCCTTCCCCACTGCCGAGGAGACTCTAAGACGGGTTCGTTTGCCTGCTGGCCCCCCAGCGCGAGCGGCGCGCTCGGCCTCCAGGGCACGCTGCCGCACAGCCAGAGGAGCAGCGCGAGAGCAACCCCGGCAGTGGATGAGGCAGGCCCTCCCCGCACGCGCATCCCCATACGGGCTTGCGCAGGCCGATGGGCGCAGCCTCCGCCGCGGCCGCGTGCCAGGGCGGGTTGGCGTCAGGGGGCCGCTGCCGCCGCCGCCGCCGCGTCCTTTGCTGCTCCAGCCTGGCAGCTGCCCGCACTGGCGGGCATCTAGCATGGCCCGAATTGCGCAGCTCATGGTTGAACGAACCCGCGGGCCCGGCAGCTGGCGAGGTCGCGAACCCCTGGCCACAACGTCGAGTGACCACCTGGGACCGGGCTGGGCCAGCCGCTCGACGAGACACCCCCGTCGCCCCATTGGTTCCTGAGCCAAAACGGCTTGAGCCAAAATGGTTACGGAGGAGGAGGAGGGGGAGGCGGAGGAGGAGGAGGAGGAAGAGGAGGAAGAAGAGGAGGAGAGCCGTCTTTTCTCAGGCATTTGCTCGAGGGACGGCTTTCTTCTCACTCCTGCGAATAGTTTGCCCCCCCGCGCGCCATGGTGGTCGCTGCTCGACTCGAATGGGCTCTTAGACAGTCCGCTTCCGGACGGAACGTCCACTTCGCTGTCAGCCGCGCCCGAGACTCAGAAACGGCCACGCTCAAGTTTGTCGTCGCCCCTGCCACTGTGTCCAAGGCGGGCGCCGTGCAGACTGCTGCGATACGGGCGAATGTGAAGGCCATCCTAGCTCCCGACCTTTTCAGCTGTGGATCGGGGGCATCTCCACAGCGACGGCACCTCTGTTCTTCAGGTGTGGCTGGCACCCGTGCGCCCTGCTGCCGGCGGTCCGCCTGTTCGCCACGTCCTTCCAGGCCCTCTTCAAGATCCTCGCGAAAGTGGCACCCGGGACCAGGAGTGGGTGGAGGAAAAGCCTTGGAGGAGGAGAACGGGGAGAAGGCCCACGCCCTGCGCTTCCAGAGGTCCCTCATCGACACCATCGGCTGCAGGCTCTACTGCTGTGACTCCAGAGCCTCTGAGGGAATCCGCGGCTATCTCCGCCATGATGCTCCTGTCTTCAGCCCTGCTCCGGAGAACAGTCAGGCTCTGAGCGCTCTCCCACATGCGAGGATCGAAGAAATTCTGGAGTTATTCAAGCACGAATGTGTAGCGAAGGCTGAGCAGCAACAGTGCGAGGCCACAATTTCATTCCTGGAGCTCTTCAGGCGCGCAGCCGCTGAAGGATTGCAACTTTCCATGTCACCAGTCAGTGTTCTCCATGAGACGCTCGGCATCTTTGTTCGCGAGGTTCAAGATATTGGGTTTCTTTATGTGCATCATCAAACTGGCACCTGGAACATTTCGGTCAGCTGGATGGACCCGGGCCAACTGAGAACTTAGAGCAGCGGGGAATCCAGTTCAGCAGTGAGGCGGCATGAGAGTGCGCCGCATGTTGCATAACGACCTTGCGTGTAGCCTTCTGTATTAACCTGTGCGAGGTACAGTGTGAGCCCGTGACGTGCTGGAGCCCTGTGGATGGACTTGGCTGCTGGTCTCGGCTCGAACCTCTGGGTGCCTGGCCCGCGGTCGGCCCTCGTGGGCCGGTGTCGTCTAGGGTGCCCTCAGCCCAAGCTCCCCCCCCCCCTGCGGGCCCTCCTCCGTTTCTTTTCTCTTCCTCTCCTGCGTCCCCCCTCTTGGGGGGGGCATGGGCTTAGGGCTACCCTCTCTGCATGGCTCGTGGTCTGGGAGGTCCTCGTCGCCGCCGTCTCCGTCTTGCTCTTTCTCGCCTTATCCTCGAGTATCGGCTTCGACTCTCTTGCCTGAGGAAGAAGAGGAGGAGGAGGAGGAGGAGGAGGAGGAGGAGGAGGAGGAGGTGGCGGGGGAGGAGAGGAGGACGAGGAGGAGGAGGAGGAGGAGGAGGAAGAGGATGATGATTATGTGGAGGAGAAGGAGGAGGAGAAGGAGGAGGAGGAGGAGGAGGAGGCGCAGCAACAACAGCGGCGGCGGCGTTTGCAAAGAGAACGAGGGGGAGAAAAGAGAGCGAATAGTTCCTTGTCTCCCCCTCCTCCATACACTCCGTCCTTCTCCGCCTCTCCTGCATACCGTGTTGTAGATGCGGCAGGTCCACCCAAGGATCGGTGCCCTCGGAACCCGCGGCCAAAGCCGAGGGGGTAGGAAAAGGTACTTGTCATATAGGGGTCAGAAGGGGAAGGACACGAGGACGGCGAGAAAAGGACGACGAGGTCGTCGCCTCGTCCTCCCCTTCCATTCCCGCCCCGCCCCCCCGGCCACCCCCCCCTTTCCTTCCCCTTCTCTTCCCCCATCCCTTCTTCCCCTCCCCTTCCATTCCCCTCCCCCTCCCTCCCTCGCCCCCCGCGGCCCCTCCCTAAGTAGTCGACGCTCCCCCCCCCGCTCCCCCCGCGCGGCGTCCTTCTCCCCCCCCCCCCCGCGCGCACCTCCAGGACGCCGAAGCCGAGCGCGTGGTAGAACCTCGCGGCTGCGACGCTGCCGTGGCCCCGCGGGGGGGGCCCCACTGACGCTGGGCCCGGCCGCGGCGACCCAACGGCGCCGCGCCGTGTGCGCGCACACAGACGCCCGTCGTCGTCGCCGCCCGTCGTCGTCGCCGCCCGTCGTCGTCGCCGCCCGTCGTCGTCGCCGTCGCCGTCGCCGCCGCCGCCGTCGCCGCCGCCGCCGCCGCCGTCTTCGTCGTGGGCGTCGTCGTCGTCGTCGTCGTCGTCGTCGTCGTCGTCGTCCCTTCCGTCGTCGTCGTCGTTTTCGTTGTCGTCGTCGTCGTCGTCGTCGTCGCTTCCGTCGTCGTCGTCGTCGTCGTCGTCGTCGTCGTCGTCGTCGTCGTCGTCGTCGTCGTCGTCGTCGTCGTCGTCATCGTCGTCGCCGCCACAGTCGTCGTCCTCCTCCTCTTCCTCCTCCTCCTCCTCCTCCTCCTCTACAGCCAGGCTGCTGCAGTAAGGAACGCTGACCAAGTAGCGGGGCCCCTCTTGGCACCAAGAGAGCCTGGGCGCACGAGGAGGGCTGGAGGAACCACCACGGGATGACCAAGGGAACAACAAAGCCCCTCTGAACCCAGAACGGTTTTTACAGCAGCGTCTTACCTGTACCCTCCTCCTCCTGCTCTTTTCGAGTCGTGTTCGTTGAAGTCGTCCTCCTCTTCTTCCTGCCCTTCCACCCTCATCCGCCTCAGGGCTTTCCTCCTGCTCCCTCCACATGGTCTCTCCCTCGCCTCGTCCACCTCCCACGCCTCGGTCTCGTGGAGCAACTTGATGCCAGGCTTGACGACGACATGAGACGCCGACGCCGCCGCGGCCGCCGCCGCCGACGACGACGACAACGACAACGACAACGACGACGGCGCCCACGACGACGACGGCGACGACGACGACGACGATGACGGCGCCCACGACGACGACACCCACGACGCCGCCGCCGCCGCCCGCGGCGATGACGCCCACGGCGGCGGCGGCGGCCTCCGAGGGCCCCTTCGAAGGCCCCCGAGGGCTGGCGGGGGGCCTCCGGAGGCTGGCGGCGGCCGTCCGAGGGCTGTCGAGCTCTTCCGAGGGGGGCGGGGGGGCGGCGTGCCACGCGGTCACGGCCAGCTGCAGCACGGCGGGGCGGTCCACGCCCCTGCCGGCGGGCGCGGCGGGCGCGGCGGGGTGGCCGGGGCGGGCAGGAGGAGGAGGAGGAGGAGGAGGAGGAGGAAGAGGAGGAGGGAGGAGGAGGAGGAGGAGGAGGAGGAGGAGCTGGAGGAGGAGGAGGAGGAGGGAGGGAGGAGAGGAGGGAGGAGGAGAGGGAGAAGGGAGGAGGGAGGGGAGGAGGGAGGAGGAGAGGAGGCGGGGAGGAGGAGGAGGGAGGAGGAGGAGGAGGAGGAGGAGGAGGAGGAGAGGAGGAGGAGGAGGAGGAGGAGCTGGAGGAGAGGAGGAGGAGGAGGAGGAGAGGAGGAGGAGGAGGAGGAGGAGGAGGAGGGAGGAGGGAGGAGGAGGAGGGAGGAGCGAGGAGGGAGGAGGGAGGAGGGAGGAGGGAGGAGGGAGGAGGGAGGAGGGAGGAGGAGGAGGAGGAGAGGAGGAGGAGGAGGAGGGAGGAGGAGGAGGAGGAGGGGGAGGAGGAGGAGGAGGAGAAGGAGGAGGAGGAGGAGGAGGAGGAGGAGGAGGATGTGGAATTCGCGGGAAGGGGCTGACACCCACAGGGAGGGAGCCAACTGGGCCATCGAACATCCGAGGCGGCGCGCCACGGAGCACGGCCTCCCGCCTGACAGTGCCGCAATGCCCAACTCAGGAGCCAGGAACGTCCTCAACGGCCCGTGGCGGCCATCGAAAAATCTCTTCGGGATCCCCCCAGCGCTTCAAGGCGTAGGTGGTCCAGGGTGTTTTGCCATCCATCTGCCCCTCTTCTCCCTCGGGGAGGGGTTTATCACTGTTCCCCAACCCGGGCTTGCACTGAAAAGGGTCCTCGCGGAAATCCCACCAGCCCTTTAGGGCGTCGGTGGTTTAACGAGTTTCCTCTTCCACCCCTCCTTCTTCCCCTTCGGGGAGGGGTCTACCCCTCCCCCTACCCCCTCCCCCCTGACCTGGACAGGGGGGGGCGGGGAGCGGTCAGAGCGTCCAAAAGGGCCTCGCCGAGGAAGCCAAAATCATTGATTTTACTAAGGTTTTGGCCCCATTTTGGCCTTCTGAGGGGGCAGCGCTAATTGAAGCTCCCCTCTTCTTTGATCGATTTCCTCCAAGATGGCCCCAAGAAGCGCCCAGGAGGCACCAAGAGGCCCCAAGATGGCCCCAAGATGGCCCCAAGAGGCCCCCAGGAGGCCCCCAAGAGGATCCCAAACGGCCCAAAGAGGCCCCCCCGAGGCACCCAAGACGCCGAAAAGCCCCTCAGGACGACCCTCTACTCGCCTGGGCGTCGTTTCTGGACGGGCTGGTGGGTATACGCGAAGCGTCTAGAATTGAAAGATTTGGCCAACATTTCTTGCCGATTTTGGTCGCACGCTGGGTTCCCGGTTCCCGGTTCCGGGTTCCCGGGTTCCCGGTTCCGGATTCTGGGCCGATTTCGGAGGGCGGCGAGGTTCCCGGGTTCCCGGGTTCCTGGTCGATCTTCTTATCGATCGGTCTCACCATCGATCTCATTACCCACTCCTCTATCGATGTCACCATCGATCTCACAATCGATCTCACCGTCAATCTCACAAGCGATCTCACTAGAGATCGCATGAGCAATCTCGCGATCGATCTCACTATCGATCTCCTTGAATCGATTTCACTCTCGGTCTCACGATCGACCTTACAATCGTCTTCACTATCGATTCCACTATCGATCTCATTATCGATCTCACAATCGATCTCAAGATCCAGAGTATTAATTTCAAAATCATCCACTGATTGGGGTTTCCTCAGGTGCTATTCCTTATCAACATACGCCCCCTCCCCCAAGCGACCGGGGGCCAACCAGGCACCATGCCGACACCATGACCACCCGCCCCCCACCATCCCTGTCACAAAACAATAAAAGCCGCACTCTGCTTCCACATTTGGAGCATGCGCGGCCAACCCGATGGGCCCTCCCCACACCATCCCTATCATAATTCAATGCAAAATACACTTTGGGGCAAAATCTTGAGTCATGCTCGTGAGACCCGCGCGCACTTCGCATTGTGTTTGACAAAAATGGCGGGGGTGTCAGCGTATTCCCTGCTGCGCGCAGGGCTACAAACAAGACAACATGCACCTCGCGGCTAAATCTGGATCATGCGCGGCCATCCCGCGATCACTGTCAAGTGGTTTTTGACAGGGACGGCGGGGATGGTGGCGTGGCCTGCTGTGTGCAGGCCCAGCAGACACAATGATGGGCATCGGTTTTCGATAAGGATGACGGGGGCCGACATGTTTCCCGATGTGTACTGTCACGTGCGCAGGCGCACCTGACGCGTTCTGCACGTGTTCCGAACGCGGCGCACCTGGCCTGACTGGAGTGTGCGGCACACCTGGCGCACGTGGCACCTGGCGCACAAGGCGTGCCTGGTACGCTCGGGCCCCAGGTGTGCCTGGCGCGCGTTGCGCGCCTGGCACGCGTGGCGCACCTCGCCCAAACGTCGCGCACCTGGGGTCGGCTTTGGTTCCCAATAGCTGCCCATCCAAAGAAGACCGCTGGACATGCTCAGGCTCGGGTGTTACTTATGTGTAGGGAGGGCGGTTGGGAGTGAGCTAGACGGCTTGCGGGCGGGTGGGTGTCTTGATCGCTCCTCCACCAGGCCGGCAGCCAACCCGGAACCATGCGGGCACCCCCCCCACCATCCCTGTCAAAAAACAATACGAAATGCACATTGCGGGCCCACCCTGCCAACACCTTCTACAATCCCTGATAAAAAACAATACGAAGTGCACACCGCAGTAAAATCTGGACAGTGCGCTGGCGCCTTATGAGCACGTTGTATTGTGTTTTGAAAAAGATGGCGGGGCACCCTTAATGACGCCGCTTTGTGTAGGACCACCATCCGTGTCAGAAACAATGTAAAGTGCACGTTGCGACAAAGTCGTCGGTATTGTGCTGGCCACCCGCGATCACTTCGTATTGTTTTTCGACAGGGACGGCGGTGGTGCCCGCATGATGACGGTGCGCAGGCCCAGAACAATGCTGACGCCCCCCACATCAGCATCTGGACCATGCGGACGGGGGGGCATCACGTTTTTTACAAGGATGGCACACCAACCGCATGTGGAGCCCGCGGCGAGCGTCGCGCACCTGTCGTCTGCTTTGGTTCACAGTGGCTGTCCATCCAGTGACGACCCCTGGCTATGCCGAGACTCGGGGGCCACTTATGTGGTGGGAGGGCGGGTGTGAGTGAGCTAGACGGCTTGCGTGCGGAGAGGGTGTCTTGACCCCTCCCCTGCCCCCTCCCCTGGACCTGAACGGGGCCGGTCGCGAGGTGTCAGAGCGTCCAAAACGGCCTCGGCGAGGAAGCGAGAATCATTGGTTTTACTAAGGTGTTGGTCCCATTTTGGCCTCTTGGGGGGGGCACCGCTCATGAAAGCTCCCCTCTTGTTTAATCGATGTCCTCCAAGATGGCCCAAACATGTTCCACAAGGCTCCCAAGAGCGCCCCAAGAGAGCCCCAAGAGGTGCCCAGGAGGCCCCCAAGAGGCCCCCAAGAGACCCCCAAGAGGCCCCCCAGGGGCACCCAAGACACCCCAAGAGGCCTCGGTGAGAATGCCAAAACCATTGGTTGTTACTAAGGCTTTGGCCACATTTTGGCCTCCTCGGGGGGGGGGGGCAGTGATTAAGATGGCTCCGAGCCCAAGATGACCTCCAAGATAGCTCAAGATACCCCAAGATGCCTCAAGATGGCTCCCAAGATGCTCCAAGAGGCCCCATGACCGCTCCAAGACGGCTCCACGTGACCAAAGAGCTCCCCGGGGAGGCCCCGAGGAGGACAACATCCTTCCAAAACCTTAGGGGAATCCATGTTTGTTGCTTTCTCGCCTATCCGATGGCCATCCGAGGCTTCAAGATGGCTCCAAGATGCGCCAAGAGAGCCCAAGAGAGGCTCAAGAGAGCCCCAAGACAGCCCCAAGAGCTTCCAAGAGCGCTCCAAGAGCGCCCCAAGCGCACCCCAAGAGGTGACTTTGGGGACTTCCGAAGGGCAACGTCAATTCATGCTCCCCTCTTGCTGGATCGATGCCCTCTAAGATAGCACCAAGAGCGTTCCCAATGCTCCCAAGAGCGCCTCAAGAGGGCCCCAAGAGGCCTCCAAGAGGCTCCCAAGAGATGTTCCCCGAAACGCTCCAAGAGACGGACCGCGAAGAGGCCCCCAAGACGCAAGAGAGGCCCAAGAGAGCCCCAAGACGGCCCCAACAACGCTCACAAGTGTCCCTAGAGCGCTCAACGAGGGACCCTTCATCTGCGTGAGGCAAATCCTCCAGGCCCTCTTTTGGCAAATGGCTGGCGTTCGAGATCTGCGTATAAATGGCGTGTACCCTCCGTGGCAAATCTACCGCACGCCGTACAAACATGCGGCCCAAACTTGGGGCAAACATGCAGCAGACGCCAGGTGTGACAACATTGCCCTCCCCACCCACCGCCCCACTGGCCCGCAGCACCCCGTGATCGCCAAGATTCGCAGTGTCCTGGGGCGCCGCCTGGCACGGCGGCGTGCAACACGCCGCCACACGACTGACGGGGACGACCGTGTGACGGTGAGCGCACAGACGCTTGCGCCCCGCGCGAACCGAGCAGCGCTCGCCCCCGCGCAGGGCCTCGAAAAGGGGGGGGCCCTCGGGGACACGGCGGGCCGCGGGAGGCCGCTCCGCGGGCCAGGGCGCAGCACCGACCGGGCCCGCCGTGGCTTCGGCCGCTTTGCGACGCCACCAACGCCGCGGTGCAATCCCACGGGTCGGTGTCGGGAGGCCTCACGCCCCCCAGAGCGCGACTCTAAGTCAGCTGTGCGGCCTCGCCCGCTGCGGTGTGGGCGAAACCGTTCCCCGTGGCATGCGCACGCTCCTGAGGCGAGGGGGGTAATTCGTCGGGATCCACGTGGGACGGGTTCGCGCGAAGCGTCTAGAGGAGGAGGGGGAGGAGGAGGAGGAGGAGGAGGAGGAGGAGGAGGAGGAGGAGGAGGAGGAGGAGGAGGAGGAGGAGGTGGAGGAGGAGGAGGAGGAGGAGGAGGAGGAGGAGGAGGAGGAGGAGAGGCGGAGGCGGAGGGGAGGCGGAGGAGGAGGAGAGGAGGAGGAGGAGGGAGGAGAGGAGGAGGAGGTAAAGGAGGAGAAGGAAGGCGCGGCGAAGAGGAGGATGCGGCGGAGGAGGAGAAGGGGGAGGAGGAGGGGGGGGGGAAGGAGGAGGCGGAGGAAGAGGAGGAGGAGGGGGAAGAGGAAGAGGAATAGGAGAAATAGGAGGAATAGGAGGAGGAGGAGGAGGAGGAGGAGGAGGAGGAGGAGGAGGAGGAAGAGGGGGAGGAGGAGGAAGAGGAGGTGGAGGAGGAGGAGGGGGAGGAGGAGGAGGAGGATGCGGAGGCGGAGGCGGAGGAGGAGGAGGAGGAGGAGGAGGAGGAGGAGGAGGAAGATTCATAATAAGAAAAATCGTAATAATAATACTAATAATGATACTAACGATACTCATAAGAGGAAGAAGAATCATACTAAGACGAAGAAGAAATGATAATAATAAGAATAAAAAGAAGAAGAGGAGGCGAATCAGGAAGTGACATCCCGCCAACCTTCCAGGCTGAGGTGTTTAGAGCGTTTCCCCTTCAATCCTACCCCCGTATTCTTCTTCGCCTTTCGGCCCCCATCGGCCCCAAGAGGCCCCCAAAAAGGCCCCCGAAAAGGCACCCCGAAGCCTTCGAGAGGCCCCAGAGACCGCCAGGGTACGCCTCAGAAGGCGCCCCGAGAAGGCTCCAGAAAGCCCCCGAGAGACATCCCAGGCGACGCCGAGGAGGCGCGGCACCCAAAAAGTCTCTGGCGCTCAGAGTCTTCCCGAGCTCTGCAAGAGATGTCCCGTTCCACCGAAAAGGGCAGCTCCCCTGGGCTTTCGGGGATATTTGTTGCTCGCGACCGCGGCGAGAAGGTCGGGCGGCGTAGAGGTACGAAACGCACATCCAACGGCCTAAATTAGCGCACGGGAGGAGGGAGGCGAAAAGAGGAAGAGAACGAACGCGGAAGACGAATACCAAGCGGGAGGGTGCAAACAGGAAGCGAGCCTCACTGCCGCTCACGAGACGGCGCGCACCTGGAAGAGCTTCCGGGCGAAGTGCAGCACCACAATTGTGTAATTCGAGGGCGGCTCCGCGACCGCGTAGAAGACCTCCAGCAAGACGAGCAGCGAGCCCACGACGAGCCGTCGGACCGCGGAGCGTAAGACAGCAAGGTCAACGCTGCGAGGCAAACCCCAGCCATGCAAACTGTCAACGGGACAGATCCGGAGCGCCAGACACCGAGAAGGTACCGTGGGTGCCATCAGGCGGGGACCGGCAGCCCGCGCCGCCAAGGTGGCGGAAAGGTTCAGCCCGAGGACTGACGGGAAGGGGCAGAGCGGCCGCGGAGGGGCCGCGCGGGGGGCATGCTGTCGGGGATACGCGGAGCGTTACAAACTTATCTTGAAACGCTGTCTTGTCTGTCTTGCCCGCCTCCGCCCCCGCATGATCCAACTGCTGATCTTCCTACGGTACCCCCGTTCCTGCTGGTCCTGGCCCTGCTCCTCGTCGTCATCCGCATCATCACCACCTCCTTCTCCTCACCTTAACTGTAGTCGTGACGAATCTCACCATGTTGTGACACATTCGAATCATATATGCAGTTTCGTACATGTCGGCGACGCGCAAAGAGTGGCCTCAGGCAAGCGCGACCTCTGGTGCGCAAACTCAAGGGGCGCAGGGTGGCCCGATCCGAGCGTGCGATCGGCCGCTACCGCATCGCGCCCCGCGACCGGGGGGACCCCGAGGAGCCCGCACCAGAAGTCACTCCGGCGAAGGGCCACTCTTACGCCTACAGTCGGGGCGTTGACCTAAGGAACCCTAAATAAGGAACGAGGCCCCTGTTTTTCCATAAGCTAAACTTCGGCTCCCGATCGGAAGCGTGAGGAAAACCTGAGGCAGTCTGTGAAACACGTAAGGAACGCGGAGCCCCGACTGTAGCCGAACATCTGGTTTTCCTCGAACCAGGGGGTCCATCCGCGAGAGCCCCGTAGCCCGCAGCGCGGGCGCGACCGCCCGCCCACCCACGGCGCCGCGCAGCCCGGATCGGAGGTGCCCCCCCTCTTCTGGTCGAGAGCTTCCGGGCACCGTCGGGGCGTTGACCCAAGGAACCCTAAATAAGGAACGAGGCCCCTTTTGAACTTCGATTTCCCATCGAAAGCCAAAGGAACACCCAAGGCAAACTGTGAAGCAATCAAGGAACACGGAGCCCCTCCCCAACGAAAAGGGTTCCTTCTTCATTGCCCCGACGGTACAGTGGAGGCCCGACCACAAGAGACCTCCCACAAAGAAACCCAAACCCCGAGGCCCCAGGACGTCCATTTTGACTTGTGGCGCGGGAGCGCCACGCTTTCCGTCGCAAAGCCATGGAAGCCCCGAGAAACCCAGGGCACCGGGGAGGCCAGCAGGGTGCTTCTCGGCATGGGCCCCCACTGCACAGCCGGACCCGGGCTGGCAGGACACCCTTCGAGAGCACGGGACCCGCCGCCTGCCAAAGCACACAGAACACCCGCGGCTGCCCCCCCCCCCCGGGGATGCACAGAAGCACCCGACAAGCACGACGAGCACGAGGGTGTCCTCCCCCAGCTGGCCCCGATCTCCTGCCCGTGGTCCGACCGTACCAGAACGATCCCGCGGCTTCCCCACAGGAGCCCCGTGAACAGAGGAAGCAGGAAGCCGCCTTCGGAGGTCGGCGCGGAGACTTCCTGGGCAGGCGCGGGAGCCCCGGCGCGCGGAGCGCGCAGGGCTTGGCCTGGCCCCAGAGCCGCCGCAAGGGTTAGGTCGGGCACGTCCTCCTACAGGCGGAGGAGAAATGAAAACAAGGTCCAGACATACTCAAGCATAGTCAGAAGAGCACGAATCATCGCCGCCAGACAAGATGTTTCTGCAATTCTTGAATATTCCTCCCGTAGGGGGACATGCCGGACTTAACGCCAGGGTTGTCCAGCGCCGATCCAAGAAATCCGAACGGACCTCCGAAAACCTATGTTTATGCTGATGTTCTTCTTCGACTGGAGCACCAAGTGGCCCAAGATGGCGCATGAGATCGCAGGAACACCTGGTGAAGCTCGGAGAAGAGGCAAAGGAAGAGGTAGGCGACATGACGTGCTAGTGCAGGGTGACGCCGCGCTCACTCTTGGAGACATGCAGGGGCAAGCACACTTGGGCATCCTGATGCGAATCAGTGGACTACATGCCCCACACAAGAGACAAGCACTTCGCCCGCCTGATCTCCGAAATCATGTCCACGACGTCGTCCACTGCGAGCTCGATCTCGCTATACCTGGCACCGCACTCAAGCCCATACGAACCAGCTGCAGACGCAACGACACCTACACGACCGCACTGATCCACATGCCTCCGCGGGTTCGCTTGGGGACAACTCACAACTCGATGCCAAACACTCACGGTCCTCCACTTCCTCCTCCTCTGCCTCTCCCGCCCGATCCAGACCCGCTCAAAATGGGCCCCTGGACCTCTCCCCGGGTCTCTCCTGACCAGTTCTGCGAGAGGCATCCGGCCGTGGCGATCAGAAACCTCCTCCTCCTCCTCGTCCTCCTCGCCTTCCTCTTCTCTTCCTTTTCCTTTTCTTCCTCCTCCTCCTCCTCCTCCTCCTCCTCCTCCTCCTCCTCCTCCCCCTCCTTCCCCTCGTCCTCCTTCACGAGAGACGAACCTCGACAGGAAAGGGCCGCCGTTGTCTCGGCTGCCCCTCCTCTGAGCTGCCGCCGGCACCAGGAGGAGCCGCGGGCGGCGAGGTGCTGATTGGTAGTCCTCAAACGTGGTGGTGACAACACCTGGCGGTGAGTCTCGGGCGATTTGGTGTCACCACCCGGTTTGGGGACTCGTGCGGTTTTCCGAGGATGTCCCGGACACTGGTGGGTCCAGGAGTCACAAAACCCGGTAGTGACCCCGCGTCCCCAAACCCAGCGGTGACCTTTTTGGGGATTCCAGGTCGCCACCTGGTATCTCACCACCCGGTTTGGGGGTTCCCAAGCTGACCGCGGGAGGCAGGCGCTGGGAAGCGCGTTCGCCGGGAAGGACGAGCAGAGGCCGGCAGCACAGGGAGGCAGGCGACTGGGCAGATGGAGGGCGGAGGCTGGGGAGGGGGAGGGGGAGGGGCCGGGGAGGGGGAGGAGGAGGAGGAGGAGGAGGAGGAGGGAGGAGGAGGAGGAGGAGGGAGGAGGAGGAGGAGGGAGGAGGAGGAGGAGGAGGAGGAGGGAGGAGGAGGAGGAGGAGGAGGAGGAGGAGGAGGAGAAGGAGGAGAAGGAGGAGGATGAGGAGTGAGGGAAGACGAGGCCCGAGCACATATGAGCGACGGTCGAAAACGAGTCCTGCGCGAGATGACATCGCGCCCTTATGCTGGCAAGTCCTCTGGACGCTGTGCCCGCCCACAACGGCCAAGAGAGCCCCGACTCGCCGAAACATTACTTGAATCCGTTGTCAATAGCCTCGAGATGGCCCAGACACCTTCAAGACTCCCCCAGAGGCCTGCAACAACACCCCCACGAGGGCTTCAAGAGGCAAACATCGTAGATTGCTCTTCGGAATTTGAAGGATTACATCGTTCGGGCCTTTCGGCTTCCCGACGCTGCAAGACGGCCCACGAGGCTTCAAACATCTCCCCAAGAGGGCCCCAAAACGGCCCAAGAAGGCGCGAAGACGGAGGCTCCAAACATCTCCCCAAGAGGGCCCCAAGACGGCCCAAGAGGGCCCGAAGACGGCCCAATAGGCGCCCCAGACGGCCCAAGAGGGTCCAAAAACTGCCCCAGGAGGGGGTCATATGGGGAACTCGAACGGACATTTCGAGCCCTCGGCCCCGAGCGGACTCCAAGCGGTCCCAAGAGGCCCCCAAGAGGCACCCAAGAGGCTCCCGAGAGGCCCCCAAGAGGCCCCCAAGACGCCCCCATGAGGCCCCCAAAAGGCTCCCAAGACGCCCACAAACTATTTTCAAGAAGCCCCCGAGAGCGCTCCGACGAGACACGCTGAAGCTTCCCTGAGAACTCTGATCCACAATTCAAGCACGGTGGCGGGATGGGCCGAAGGCCGTTTGATCCGCCGCCCCCTGTTGATTCATCACAAGGGTGCCCGGCGTGCTGAACCCTTTCGGTTTTGGTTTTGGCTTTTTCCAAAGAGCTCCCCCTGGGGCTTCGGCGCGTCCCGCGTTCGGGTCCAAGACGACGGGAAATCTGCACAACGCCACCTCCAAGACGGCCAAGATGACCCAAGACGGCCTCCAAATTCGCCCAAGACGGAGAAGATGGCCTCAAGAGAGCCCAAGATGGCCCCAAGATGTTCCAAGACGGCCCAATGTGCCCCCAAGATGGCCAAACATGGCATCAAGATGGCCCAATACGGCCCAAGAGGCCCCCAAGACGGCCGAAGAGACCTCCAAGAGGGACCTCCAGGAAGGCCCGAATAGGTACAAATCATCGATTTTCCATGGGTGTTTGAGGGATTCTGGCGTTTGCTCATATTCGGCCTTCCAACGGCCCAAGACAGCCCAAGAGGCTCCCAAGAAGTCCGCAGGAGCGTCCGAGAGGCCTCCGAGATGGCTCCTTGACGGCCCATGAGGTCCCCAATACGGCCCCAAGAAGGCCCCAAGACGGCCCAGGAGACCTCCAAGGCGCTCAAGACGGCCTCCAAGACGGCCCTGAAGCGCGCTAAAAGGCCCCACGTCGGCCTAGGCAGGCCCCCAAGACGGCTTCCGAAGGCGTCAGACGAGTCAGGAGCGCCCAAGACGAAGGACAATTGCACAACGGCCGCCCCCAAGAGGCCCAAGGAGGTCTCCAAAAGACCTCCAAGAGGCACCCAAGAAGCACCCAGGAGGCCTCAAGAGCGCTCCAGAGGTTCTCGAGAGGCCTCCTATGTCTTCCTCCCCCTCCTCCTCTCACTCACTCTCATTTTTCTCCCCTCTTCTCCTTTTGCCTGTTCCTCAACAAACTGTACCCCGAAGGGTTTCCACAACGGCTGGTGGAATACATGGTCCAACAACTTGGCCAAGATCTGAACCAACGTGTACAACGAGCGTTTCGCCTGGGACATCCTGACGCAAGCGAGAGATTGGAGATATATGAAACAAGATGGCTTCCACTACGGCTAAGATTGCCAAAGATGGTCCCACAAATGCCCCAAGACGGCCCGATCATTGCCAAATATGGCCCTCATGAGGGCCCCAAAACGGCCCCAAGACTGTCAAATGTTGACTCCAAGACGGCCGAGCTGTCTCCATGACGGCCAAAAGGTTCCAATCAACCACCTCTTCCTCCGCGTTCCCCATCTCATCCTCCTCCCTTTTCTAAATTCTCCCCCCATTCATGCGCCCCCAAATGTTCCCCGAAATGTTTTCCGCGAATACCGCGGTTGCACTTTGCCCCAACGTATGTCGGCATAGGCGTTGGCCTTCGCATACATCGCCGTAGCGACGAAATTAGCGGCACCACGACGGCGACGATGCCAGCGACGACGTCGGCGCCAAAGAGGCCTCGAAGAGGCCCCCAAGAAGCTCACAGCAGGCCCCAAGAGTGCCCCAAGAGACCCCCAAGAAGCCTCGTCCTCCTGCTCTTCCTCTTCCTCTTCCTCTTCATGTTCATTCTCCCTCACGTGTTCCCCAAAGGCTGTCCAAACCGGCTCGGGGAACTCATGGTCCGACAGCTTGGCCAAGCTCTAGCCCAACTCTCGGCCACATAGGCGCTACCCCAAAAGGCAGGGGGGGGCGGTGATTCGCCGTAGGCGTCGTCGATAATACATTGTTGTTATATCCTCAAAACCAGAGGAATGAGAGTAAGAAATAATAAGGCGGCGTGAGCAAAGACTTACGAGGGTCCGCGCGGACTTCTTGGATAGGCAATGGACTCCCCTCCCTGGCGCGCGGAGCGCGCCAGGGGCGGCGCCAAGGGGGGGGGAAGGGGTCCGGCGCCAAGCCAAGAGATCAGCGCGAACCTTCGATCTTTGCTTTGGATGCGGATGTCACAAGCTGGACAACTGGGTTCGTCTGACTACAGCGGACCTTCGAACGTTGATCTTTGTGTAGCTTTGCTTTTTGGAATCTTCACACGGCGGGTGGTGCGGATAGTGGTGGATCGCCCGCTGACACGGCCGCGTCGGGTTCTGGCAGCAGCATGAGCCGACGGCATGGCACTGCTTGCACCCACGACGTCTTGCTGGCGCGGGAGCTTCGGGATACGCTCGGCTCTGCAAACAACCGAGTCATGAGGGATATCGCACAGTGCGAACGTCGGGACGAGCGCTGAAGAGGAGAAGGACCGGATTGGATCGACGTGGTGGACGGGGACGTCAGGAACCACAGCGCCGCCTGGGGCACCGTGTGGGGCTGCAAGCTTGAAGTGGTTCTCTCAACTGAGCAGCTCTGGCAACATCTGTATGCCGCCCTGCCGGGCGGCGAGTCTGGAGGAGAGGACGGGGGCGGAGACGACGACGACGACGACGACGACGACGACGACGACGACGGCCGCGGCCTGTGCCGCTCCAGAAGGTATACGAGCTCGTGCTTGGACGCGAACTTGGCCTCCCGCGTCGTCGTCGTCGTCCTCGTCCTCGTCGTCGTCGTCGTCGTCGTCGGCGTCGGCGTCGTCGTCGGCGTCGTCGTCGTCGTCGCGCCGCGCCGCCAGTGCTCTTCGGCGGGCAGGGGCGCGGCGGCGGGCGGAGAGAGCGGCGGGCGAGGCCTGCGCGGAGCGCCGGCCGACGCCTTGGCGCGACGAGAGAGGGCCCAGCGCCCGGCGCCGAGCTCGCGCCGGCTGGCGGCGCCTGCGCCGAGCGCTGCTCCGAGCGCTCGGTGCGCCTGGTGTGCACCACTTGGCGGCGAGCGCGCGGTGGAAGTGAGAAGGGGCGGGCCTTCTGAGAAGGCTCGGAAGTCCCCAGGCCTTCTGAGAAGTTGTCTAAGCCTTCCCCGAAGACAGAAAACATGTCTCAGAAGGCGCGAGGGCTTCTGAGCAGTCCGACCGCATTCTGAGAAGATCTTCGACTCCTCACTTCCCCCTCGCTCGCCGCCGAATCACAGAGGGCGCAGGGTAAGGATGCGCTGCTGTTGGACGTAGGCCAGGAGAGCATCCTGCAAAAACACGGGACCCTCTGTCGGCCAAAGCAAACAGAACATCCAAGGGTACCCTCCCCAGGATGCACTGGAACGCGCGGCCTCACGCGGGAAACTTACGCGCGAATGTCGGCGCAATCGACTCCGTTTTTCTCCGTCGCTCACTGCCGCCGCCGCCGCCGCCGCAGTCGTCGTCGTCGTCGTCGTCGTCGTCGTCGTCGTCGTCGTCGTCGTCGTCGTCGTCGTCGTTGCCGCCGCCGTCGCCGTCGCCGTCACAACCATCCCCACCCCCAGACAGGACCCCCTGGATCGCCAGGTTGGGGGTCCTGGCTGGGGGTGGGGATGGGTTGTGCTGTCCCCAGTCCGGATCACCGCGCACCGCGCCCCGCAGTGCGCGACTGCCTTTGTACGCCCTCGCGCCATCGCCCAATAGGAGAAGGGCAGCCCGCTCCGGCCCAGGCCGCGCCGCGCGAAGCGCAACTGTCCTCGCGCCCCCGCGGGGGGCGACGCAGCGGCGAGGGGCGCAGGAAGCAGAGACGCGGGCGCACCAGCGTCGGGAGATGTGCGCGCACCTCGCTTGCTGGCGCCCGACTCCCCCCTCCCCCAGCGCGAGGGGCCGCCGGGAGCGGCGCTGGAGGCACCGCCAGGGGGGGGAGCCACGCCGACGCACTACGTCCACGCGGAGCTTCGAACGATCTGCACTGCCCCCCGAAGACCAGAGATCCGACGCTTCGATGTCCCTCGACGTGCGTGGGCCCTCGGCCCTCTCGACCCCTTCCCCAGGGCGCGCCCTTCGTTCCGAGTCGCAGGGCTGGACCTGCACGCTGTTTTTCGTTTTGTTTCTTGTTGCTCTCCCTGCTTTCCTGTACCTCCCTGCCACAACGAAAAACAAACCACAGCCGTTTTGTTGGTTGCTCTCCCTGTTGTCCTGTACCTCCCTGCCACAACGAAAAACAAACCACAGCCGAGGTCCAGCAAGACGGCAATTGGGTCCAGCCCTGCCGAGTGGTTCTCAGACGGCCCAGCGGCCCGCAGCAGGCCCAAGAGGCATTCGGTGACCTTCGCATCCTGCCGTTGCGGAGCCATGAGCGCAGACTGGTCGGAAGCTGCCGGCCCGTTCCTGGGCCAGTGGTCGCTGGCCGCGCGGGGCTGCAGGAGGCCCTGGCAATCTCACAGCGCATCATCATCCGGCGGCGCGCTCAAGGGGAAGGCAGGAGGGGGCGGGCCTTCTCCGAAGGCTTAGGTCGGGCATGTCCCCCCACCCTACAGGCGGATTTTGGGCGAAAGCTGAAAGAGTAGTCAAAACAAGGTCCAAATAGCTAAACATGTTAGGAAAACCGTCCCCGTACTATTTGTAGACTATCTTTGACGACCCCTCCTGTAGAGGGACTGGCCCGATTTCACTCAAGGGGGAGGGCAGGAGGGGGCGGGCCTTCTCTAGGGGGCAAACAAACCTACCTCGCTTTTGACCACCCTCGCTTCCAAGAGATACCAAACGATGCCAAATTGCAGCCTGTACTGGTCAGGCCGCTTGACGAGGAGGCGCGTGGTATGGCTTGGTTTTGCCTGGAAGCGAAAGCGGGGTAGGTAATTCACGCTCTGATTCTCAGAAGGCTCCGAAGGCCTCCAGCCTTCTGCCTCGGAAGCTGCCGGGCCTTCGCCGAAGCCGCGGCGGGCTGCTAGGAGGAGGGCCACGGGGCTTCCGAGGAGTCCCGCCGCCCTCTGAGGAGGCCTGCCCACGCTCAGCCAGCCTCGAACTGATCCCTATCCCTGAGATGGGCGAGCAAAAAGCGAGGACAATCTTAGGGATAGGAATCCTCAAGATCGGCATCGAGCTGAGGTGATGTCAAACATAGGGATGGGGATATGTTTCAAACTGGTAGGCTCTCACATTCCCCCTCGGAGCGCCGACGAATGATGTCATCGCTTCTCGCTCCTCTGAGCTTCCCCCAGGAGCCAGCTTCTGCACGATGCGTGGTGCCCCCGCGCTGGGGGGAGGGGGGGAGAGGGGAGGAGAGGGAGGAGAAGGAGGGGAGGAGGAGGAGGGGAGAGGAGAGGAGGGGAGAGGAGGGGAGGGGAGGGGAGGGGAGAGGGAGGGAGGGGAGGGGAGGGGAGACAAGTTAGGTGCGCTCGCGTCAACATCTGACATCCTACCCCTCCCTCCCATCCCTTACCATGGCGCTGATTTTCTCTATCCGCGGACGCGTGTCGTAGCAGACCTGTGGCTCCGCGCGCGTGTGCGTAGTGGGTGGCGGTGCGCGTGCGTGCGTGCGTGTGTGCGTGGTTGTGGTTGTTGTGGTGGTGGTGTGTATGTGTGTGTGTGTGTGTGTGCGTGTGTGCGCGTGTGCTGTGGTGTGACGTGGTGTGGCGTCTTGGTGGTTTGGTGGTGGGCCAGGTGCGTACGTGCGTGATGGCGGTGGTGGTGGTGGCGGTGGTGGTGTGTGTGTGTGTGTGTGTCTGTGTGTGTGCGTGTGTGTGTGTGTGTGTGTGTGCGTGTGTGTGTGTGTGTGTGTGTGTGTGTGTGTGTGTGTGTGGTGGTGTGTGGTGTGTTGTGTGTGCGTGCGTGCGTGCGTGCGTGCGTGCGTGCGTGCGTGCGTGCGTGCGTGTGTGTCTGTGTGTGCCCGCGTGTGATGTGGTGTGACGCGGTGTAGCGTGGTGGTGGTGGGTGGGGTAGTGCGGTGGTGGTGGCGGTGCGCGGTGGTGGTGCGCGTGCGTGCGTGCGTGCGTTGGTGGGTGGAAGTGGCGGTGGGTGTGCGTGCGGCGGGGCGGGGCGTGGTGCGGCGCGGTGGTGGCGGGCGGATGGGCGCGCGAGAAAGAGGCCCGCGCTGGGGCGAGAACGCTATCCTGAACGACGGAGGCAAAACACCGATCCGAAAATGAGGCCCACGCTGCAGCGGGAGCACGGTTCGGAACGATTCGGGAGCAGAAATGAGGCCGGCGCCTCAGCGAGAGCAACATTTTGAAAAAAACGCAGGCGAAAACCCAATTCCCGGGAATCCTGTGTAAAACAGTACGCGAGGGGGGGGGTCGAATATTTTCAGGCCGCCATCGGGGGAAGAGGGAGAGTAGTATTCATATTGAGTAATTTTGGAGGGGAGGGGAGATGAGAGGAGGCCGAGGAGGCGGAGGAGGAGGGGAGGGGGAACAATAAAAACGCCAGGAGGAGGGGAACGATAAGAACGCCAGGAGGAGGAGGAGGACAACGACGACGGCGCCCAGGGCGGGCTGGCCCGTCCTTGACGGCGGGCGGTTTGAGCCCGGGCTCGCGGGCGGAGTGCAGGGGCGTGGCCAGGCCGTCGGGCGCGGGGCCTCCGCGCGGCGGCGGGCGTCGAGGGCGAGCGGCGGCGGCGGGCGAGGAGGGCGGAGGGAGCGGAGGCGAGGACGGCGAGGAGGGCGGCGGCAGCGGCGGCTGCGAGGGCGACGAGGGGGGGGTGAGGAGCGACGAGGAGGGTTGGAGTGAGAGGAGGAGGAGGAGGAGGAGGAGGAGGAGGAGGAGGAGGAGGAGGAGGAGGAGGAGGAGGAGGAGGAGGAGGAGGAGGAGGGGGAGGAGGAGGAGGGAGGAGGAGGGAGGAGGAGGAGGAGGAGGAGGAGGAGGAGGAGGAGGAGGAGGAGGAGGAGGAGGAGGAGGGAGGAGGAGGAGGAGGACGAGGAGGAGGAGGAGGAGATGGGGAGGAGGAAAGGAGGAGGAGGAGGAGGGAGGAGGAGGAGGAGGAGGAGGCAGGACCAGTGTAAAACCACGTCGAGAAGGAACCGCCCTCCACCCGCGAAGATCTCTTGCGCATTGCAGCGAATGCGAATGGCGCGGAATGCGAGAACCACCATTTGCAAACGATCCACCCTCGGACCCGCCAAGTCGTGCAATCTTTTGAACGCGATAATGCTCGCAGCGCCGAGGCGAGAACCGCGATTCGAAAATGAGCCGCCCTCCATCCGTGAAGCTCTTGCGACTTGTAATCACGAAGGTGCGAAACGCTGGGGCAAGAACCACATGTTGAAACGACCCGCCCTCAATGCGTGAAGCTCTTGCAATTATTCAAGCGGCGGATGTGCGTGGCACAAAAAGCGAGAGCCCCATGTTGTAAAAACCACCCGCGCTTCATCTGTGACACTGTGCAACTGTCAAGCTGCAGGATCATCAATATAAGGAGGTCTCAACGGACACGCACTGTACGCCCTTCTGACTGGCCGGGGGTGCGGACACGGTCCCAAGAGGAGGAGGAGGAGGAGGAGGAGAGGAGGAGGAGGAGGAGGTGGACGACGATGGATAAAGGAGGGAAGAGGAAATGCGGGTAGGAGGAGGGAGGCGATGGGGGTGGGTGAGGCGCAGGAGTGGACAGGAGAGGGGAACTGAATGGTAGAGGAAGAGGAGGGGAAGGATGCTCGAGGCGGGTGGAGATGGAGTGGGAAAAAGGAGGGGGATGAAAGGGAGAGGCTTCCCGACCCAGTGCTTGTTCTTCATGGGGTCCTTACTTCTT